TACGCTAAATATGAAGCTACCACCAAATAGCTGGTTAGCTTAGCTTAGCATTAAAAAACTAAATTTGTAAAGTATGGTGGTCCATTTCCGCCAATGTGACGAAATGAAAAAAAAATTGATAATTTCTCATAATAATGAGAAATGTATACTTTTGAGATACTAAGTCAATATTTTCAGATACTAAGTCAAAATATTGAGAAAGTTTCTCATTATAATGACTTACATAACCTTTTTCCCCCCCTCACATTGGCAGAAATGGGCTTCCATACATAAGTGATTGGATCCTACATGAACACACAATTATATGACAAAGTCTGAAGAGTTTTAGTTATTTCACAGATTTTCTTTATTTTCTAACTGGTTTGAAGTTGAGCAGGGCTCAATATGTCTGTGCACCAGTCAGGACAGTCGGTGATAGACAGGAAATATGAGGTATGACAAGTTAGAAACGTCCCTGTTCGGCAGGTGAACCAAGGACACAGCGCTTTAACTATTAGGCTTCTGTGGTACTCAGACTTGTCAATATTTGAATCAAAATGTGATGAAAGCGATTGTTTTCTTATGTAGCCTGACCAATGTCAATCAAATCTGATCAAACCACACCTATGACATTATGATCTAGCTGTTAGATAATCCTTTGTAAATATGTAATATAAAATACCAATAAGGTGAAAATCATTGACAGCATATATAGTGGACAGAACTTCCATGTCTGTAAGGTGGAGCCTCACTGACAGTATATACAAGAGAGCTTCAGTGTCTCTGAAGTGAATGCGCAAGAGTCTTAAACCAGCATTATTTCTAATGACCAGCAGGGGGCAGCTCTATTGGCTGCAAAAGAGAAGCCGATAGTACTACTTGTCACTTGATTTATGAGCTCAGTAAGCAGTTTCCAAATGAGTGTATGGTATCAATCTCTAGTTTCAGTCTTCTCCCATACAGCATGATGTATAAGCAGATTTCCCAAAATGTCGGACTAACTACTTCCAATGTAAACAAAAAGTGCACAGTTATGAAATAAATACAAGGTGGCTCTGATAAAACATATCAATATTTCACATTCTAGTGTGTGTGACTGTCATTTACATTCCACTGATGCTCTTCGGCCTTCTGGGAAATATACTAACAATTCTGGTGGTTTGGCTCCGACCGCACATGAGAAGCTCCACTTACCTCTACCTGAGCAGCATGGCTGTCAGTGATCTGTTGATACTGCTACTGTTACCTCTGGATCTCTATAAGGTACACACACTCTCACACACATGCACACAAGCTGTACCTTTTTCATGCACACATTTTATGGTGATATAAAAAAGCACCATAGTTCCAATAGTGGTTTTAAAAACCCTTCGTTGCCTTCCCCTGAGGGGTATCTCTGCTGCCAAATTAAGTTTTCTTCTATTACACTCAAGGGTCATGTCACAGAGTGTTCTTACATCATTATTCTATCTTTTCCTCTGCACAGTCACAATGGAAGATCAAATTATACTGTGAGGAAATACACAATATTTTATGGGTTAAGAAATCTTTTTTTTTATTATTATTATTCTTTATTCAACTGTTACCAGTCAGTAGTGACTGATGTATTCATCCCATCTCCATGATTTTCAGTTGCCATAGAAGCTGTGACTAGTAGCAGTTGTGAGAGTTGTGATTGGAGTATTTTTGTTAGTGATTCTGTTAATGTAAAAGTCAGAGGCTGACCAAAGTCCTCTGGAGACACTGAATATCTGTCACTAGTTTCTGGACCAAAGTGATGGACTGACTGACTGACTGACTGACTCTGCAATCCCTAGAGCCATTCTGGTAGTGTGGCTATTCAAATGTTTACAATCCATCACTAAATTCATGGCAAATGTAAAGATGGCATTGAAGCTGCATTGAACAGCATCTTTTTGACAAGTTGTTGCACAATTTAATGAGAAACATGGATTTAGTCCTTCAATCTTGGTGGCAGGGAGGCATCTACAGTGATCTTTTCTAGAGGTTTTAGGGTAGTTGACAGTTTATGGCATAGTGAATATTGAATATAAAATATGGTTTATTGAACTGACATTTACATTATTGAACTTATTATAACATTTATTTTTTTTATTTTTATTTATTTAAAGAATTATGCATAAATTGTTTTAATTACTTTTAAACTTAAAAAAAAAAATCTTGTGTACTCCTGCAGTACCACCAAGTTACCAAGTAACTATAGTGGCACATTTAAGAAACACTAATGTAAGCTGGGCAGCCATGCTAGTTACATTTGCTAGTTCTTATACTGGTAACTCTGCCCATACTTGTTTTACCCTGCCAGTTCCGGTCTGACCATGTTTCTGGTCCCTTATGGAAATCAGTGTCAGTTGGCACATCTACGTCTATCATCATTTATCCTCTTTGGCTGACAAACACATTTTTGTTCTTGGTTAAATCCACTGTTCTTTGTTTAATCCCCTTACTCTAACTGAAACATTAATGGTTGTTTTGTCAACTGAGAATATACCCTTAAAACAACTTGTGACAACTTTGTTGTCACAAAGGGAAATAAGGGTGGAAATAAAGATGTCGTCAGCGAAAAAATACTTGTTCTGTCTCTCCCAGCTCTGGAGGCCCAGGCCCTGGCCCTTAGGAGACCTTGCATGTAAGCTGACGATGTTCCTCTCAGAGTGCTGCACCTTCTGCACCATCCTTCACATCACCTTCCTCTCCCTGGAGAGGTACCTGGCTGTCTGCTGGCCAATCACTGCAAAGACCCTGGTGACACGGCGCAGAACCAGGGCTCTCATTGGCTGCCTCTGGCTGGGTGCCGCCGTCAGTGCAGCACCAGTTTTGGTCATGGTTGGAGTGGAGGATGTTGGGGGAGAAGAGCTTGGGCTCGGCGGATGGAGGGAGGGTGGAGGGTGGACAGGCAGGGAAGGAGAACAGGGCGGATTTATGATAGGTGGAAAGGAAAGAGGAAGTGGACATATGGCCTTAATGGACAGAGCACTGGAGAGAATAAATTGGGAGGAAAAAGAGAAAAATGGATGGGATGAAAGAGTTTGGTCTGCAGAGAAAGGAGAGAGGAAACTGGGTGTAGAAGAAAGACATGAGCCAAAACAAGGAGATGAGGGAGGAGGTGAACAAGAAGAAGAAAAGATGAAAGTCAAAGGAGAACAGCAAAATAAAATGAAAGAAGATGAGGGAGGAGGAAGGGAAGAAGGTGTTGCTGCAGGTCACGGAGGAGAGATTGACAATAGAGAGTGCCGCTGCACGCACTACGCTGTCTCCTCCGGCCTGTTGTCGGCCATGATGATTCTCTCCAACTTGTACTTCCTAATACCCCTCTGCATCTTGGGTCTGGTCTACAGCCTGATTGGACGAACTCTGTGGCTCCGCCCACAAAGCAGCCGTAGAGACCAGAGTCATCGGCACACCGTCAAAATGCTTGGTGAGAAACACACCCTTAGACTCTTCCTTTATTATAATCAAGAACACACAGAAACAATAGCTTCCATAGGGATTACTTTTGACCAAATATTTACACTAACCTGGGTTGGGCTACAGGCGGTGAGGGCCTCTGCTGACACACTACTAAGTATAACTCCAACTGAACTGCAGATGATTGTGACATTTACTCAGTAACTGAATCAGAAAAGCAAAAACACAACAGCTCATCTTGGCTTCTTAGTAAGTCTCTTTTCTCACCAAGCAAAAGGATCCTCTAAAACAGTGGTTCCCAACCTGTGGCACACCACTACAGGTCACCAAAGCTTCAAGGGAGGTTTCGAGGCTTTTTTGAATTTAAGGCGTTCTAGAAACTTAAAAAATATACACAGTAGGCTTCAGCATCTAGTTTACTTCTGTGAAGAAAAGTAAATGTAAAGACTGTTAAATTATTCCTCAACAATTCATCATACAAATTATTCAATTGCATCTATAGCACCAGATGTGTCCTAGCAACCAGTTTATACATAACTAAAATCTCTAGGAAGGACTTCACATCTAACTTAGTGAAGGATTTAGGAATAGCTGGTGAGACTGCTTAATTACAGGGGTACCATCTGGGTTTGTTAGTATAAGAGACAACTTGTAATTATCACTTTTGCTTAATCTATTAATGATTCTGATGTCCTCCCCCTCTGTTTTTCTTCCCACACTGCCCCTCTGTCCCTTCACCTCCTCCAGGAGTGATTGTCTTGGCATTTGTCCTGTGTTGGCTGCCCTTCCATGTGGGTCGGACCATCTTCTCTCTTTCTCTGGGCACCGGTTCTGACAGACAGGAAACATACACAGACACAAACTCACACTTGGACATTAACACTCTCTCTGATGTCAGTATAGGCAGAAATATCAACATACACAACCTCCAGTCAGACTCAGACAAGACCTCCTCCAAGACTGGGAAGATGACTGCACACACTTATGCAGAGAGAGATGAAATGTTCTGTGATATCTGTGCAAAAACCAAAGTCAAAATCAACACACACACTGATACAGATACACAACTGGCAGACACAGAGACACACACCGACATGGGCACACAATCTGATGCTATGAGCACAGATAAACACTTATATTCTCATGTTGTATCACACACCAGAGGGCAACATATAAACACTGGCACAAGCACACACAATCTGGATCCTAGCATTGAAACGGGTACACACACACAAGTATCACATTCCAATACTAGCTTTCATACTGACACACACACCAACAGGTCGAGCTGGACATCTATTTGCGTAAACTCACAAAACAACACACATAATCCCACACCTCCCACTGCAGACACAGACACATACAGAATATATAATAACGCACACACTGACACACCCTTCAACAATACATACACGCACCCTGACACACACTATTTTTTATACTATCTGTCTCAGTATTTCAACCTGGTGTCCTCTGTCCTCTTCTACCTCAGCGCTGCTGTCAATCCTTTATTGTACAACCTGATGTCTGCCAGATACAGACACGCTGTGCACAGCCTTATACACACACACTCTCACACGCCGTCTCACCGCCTGCGCACACTTACGGCACGGCACTCCACCACCACTTTGTAAGGGCAGACGCTGTACAAGCAGAAGTAGACGCACACACCGCATGCAAAAAAAAAGGGAAAGACTCAAGCAAACACAATGCAGCCTCTGTTTAAACCTTAATTGCTTTCTAATTAAACAATGTATTGATAATGGTAACAAGTGTATAGTGGTCATTAGTGGTATGGTAAGAGTTTGATGTAGAGATAAAAAGATTAAAGATTAAAGTTGCAGTAGGTAACCTTTATAAAAATAACTTTTTGTCATATCTGCTGAAACTTTCACTAAGATTAAAGATTAAAGTTGCAGTAGTAACCTTTATAAAAATAACTTTTTGTCATATCTGCTGAAACTTTCACTATATCCTGACAGTAGAACATGAGACA